CGGCGCGGGGACACCGGCGCTCCGGTCCCCGAGCGCGGGCGCTCTGCGCCCGAACTCCGCGCGGCAGCCCAGGCATTCCCCCGCGTGACGTCAGCCGCCGCCTCCGCCCACTCGGATCATGCAAATGAGCCCACGTAAGGCCCAATGAGCGTGCGCGACCTCTGCCCCTCCCTCTTCTGGGCGGGGAGAGGGGAGCAGGGAAATCCCTAACGCGGGAAAACGGAGATTTCCAAAACCTGGACAAAAGGGGCGAAAAGTCTGCCTTCCTGTCCCTTTCCATTCAAGGCCGGGGACCGGGATGGGGGGGGGGGGTCGTCGCAGCCGGTGCCCACTTGAGTCCTTACCATTCATTTAGCCTTCTCCTTTCCCTTTTCCACGGGAAAACCGGCCTGAACAGGGACTGCCATCTAAATGGAATGGAATTCAGTGTCTTTATTTGCAGGTTTGGGGGTCCGGTAAGGGGGGGGGTAACTTCTTGGTTTTCAGAGTTTTTGCATGATCGTCTTCAATTCATGGCAAGTGGTAGGGCGTTTGGTTTAACGTTACTGACACAGGTTTCCATTTCAGAGTGTGGTCTTGTCCGTAAAAATTGTGATGGACAGATGCTAGGCTGTGAGCAGAGGCCAGTGGGGTGGAGAGGGTCCCGGGGTCTGGGGGGTGTGGGGAGTGCAGCCACAGGTGACTTTTGGTGGGGGTGGTTGACAACAGTTGCACACAAGGTCTGGGGAATGTTTGTTCAATTGCTGTTGCATTGGTACAGGTTGTCACCTATGAAATATGATACCTTTGGCAACTAGGCAGGTCTGAAACAGGACCACTGTTATTTGTTGTTATTTGTTGGTTGGTTGGTGGGTTGGTCGGTCGTGGGCTGAACTCTGGGCCTGGGCGCTGTCCCTCAGCTCTTCAGTTCAAGGCTAGCGCTCTACCACTTGAGCCACAGCACCACTTCTGCCTTTTCTGTTTGTGTGGTGCTGAGGAATCGAACTGAGGGCCTCATGCATGCAAAGCAAGCACTCTACCACTGAGCCACCTTCCCAGCCCCTTGTTATTCATTTATCCGTTGATCTGTTTATTTATTTTTCCAGTACTAGAACTTGAGCTTTTGTCCCTGAGCTTTTTTGCTCAAGGACGGTACTCTATATCACTTGAGCCATAGTTCCATTTCTGACTTTTTGGTGGTTAATTGGACATAAGCGTCTTATGGAATTTCCTGTCTGGGCTGGTTTCAAATGGTGATCCTCAGCTCTCAGCCTTTCGAGTAGCTAGGATTACAGGAGTGAGCCACCAGTGCCACCCCAAACAGGTGTGTGTGTGTGTGCACATGCATGCATGCATGTGTATGCTGGTCCTGGTCCTGAGGCTTGAACTATGGGCTTGGGCGCTGTCCCTAAGCTGCTTTTGCTCAAGCTAGCACTCTACCACTTGAGACACAGCTCCACTACTGGTTTTGGGGTTTTTTTTGTAGTTAATTGGAGATAAGGTTCTCACAGACTTTTATACCTGGGCTGGCTTTGAACTGTAATCCTCAGATCTCAGCCCCCTAGGTAGCTAGGATTAAAGGTGTGAGCCACTAGCACCTGGCCAGATTTATTTTGATAGCAATATTTATCATGGTTTTTATTTCCAGCTATATTTACTTATTTAAGTCTGAAACCTCAGGGTTTTCATGTGGTAATGTTGGAAGTATGTCAACATATTGAAGTATTTCCTAAGAATATGGGCATCTTGAAAGGAACTTGGCTATTCAAGCTTTTACTTCTGCAGAAAGTCATGCTATTGACAGGAAGCCAAAAAGCCAGCATATTGGGTGGACAAGCCACTCAGGGTTTTGGGTTTTTGGGGGTCAATTATGGGTCTTGAACTCAGGGCCTGGGCATTGTTTCTGAGCTTTTTCTCTAAAGGCTAGCACTCTACCATTTTGGGCAACAGCATAACTTCTGGTTTTTTGGATGTTTTTGTTGGTGATGGTGGTCATGGGGCTTGAACTCAGGGACTGTGTGCTGTCCCTGAGCTTGGCTTGTTACCCAGGCTTTATCCCTAACATTTACTGCCCATTCCAATTAGTCAGAATTTATGTTCACAATCTTGCACAATTGGCCAATTCTGAAAGGGCTTACAAACTTATCCAAGCAATTAGCCAAAATCCAGGACACTTGGCCAAAGCAGGAACTTGTCAGAAAACCAATGCTTACTTAGCTGGTACTTTACCACCTGAGTTATGCCTCTAACCCCCTAGAAAAACAATTCTTACAACAGGATATTGAGGCTGGGATGTAGCTTAGTGGCGCAAATGCAATGTCCCAGATTCGATCCCCAGTACCAAAAAAGAAAAGACAGAAGAAAAAAAAAAGATATTGGTTAATGAAAGTAGTTTCTTATAAGATAGCAGGTATCCTTAAAATAGAAGTACTTATGCCAGCAACCGCTCTGACAGTAAAAAACAACTTTTACAAAAGGGAAGGTGAGCAAGCCTTTCTGCTTTGCCTGAGACTAACCATTCCTAGCACTGAAAGCCAGTCCTGGGAGATCCTTCCCTCACAGGCAAGCTGGGACAGTTGGTCAGTCCCAAATGCTAGACAGCCTCCAGCCCGTGTCTCTTCATAGTTGTTGATCTTAGTAGACAGGCAGGGCCAACGCACTGTCAAGGGCTAGGACCAGGAAAGAGAGGCCAGCTGAGGGTGACAGAGATGAAAACACACCACTGATTCTTATTATTCACAGATTCTGAGTCTACATTTGCTGACTTGCTAAAGTTTAATTGTAACTCCAAGCCAATATCTGTGGCTTGTTTGTAGGACCTCAGGGACATGAGCAGAGCAACATTACAGTTGAGTAGTCTGCAGGGTGCTGGTGGCTCACACCTGTAAACTAGCAACTGCGAAGGCTGAGATCTGAAGATCAAAATTCAAAGCCAGTCTGGGAAGAAAAGACCTGAAGGAT